TTATGGTGAATAAGTTGGGGTTTGCTTGAAACAGCGAGCAAGTGGTCTAGTGGTAAAGACTGCCCACTGCGTAGTGTTCCTTTGTGGTTCAAGTCCTACAGAAGTCATTTTGTGACTTGAACTGTGACGAATTTTAATTACATTAGCTACAGAAAAAGGTTATGGTGAATAAGTTGCGATATGCCGTCAGCCACGAGAAAGTAGTCTAGTGGTAAAGACTACGAGTTGTGTAAAATGTACCATTGTGGTTCAAGTCCTACAGAAGTCATTTTGTGATTTGAATTGTGTCAAATTTTAATTGCACAAGCTAGAGAAAAAAGGTTATGCTGAATAATTTGCGATATGCAGTCAGCAACGAGAAAGTAGTCTAGTGGTAAAGACTACGAGTTGTGTAAAATGTACCATTGTGGTTCAAGTCCTACAGAAGTCATTTTGTGATTTGAATTGTGTCAAATTTTAATTGCACAAGCTAGAGAAAAAAGGTTATGCTGAATAATTTGCGATATGCAGTCAGCAACGAGAAAGTAGTCTAGTGGTAAAGACTACGAGTTGTGTAAAATGTACCATTGTGGTTCAAGTCCTACAGAAGTCATTTTGTGATTTGAATTGTGTCAAATTTTAATTGCACAAGCTAGAGAAAAAAGGTTATGCTGAATAATTTGCGATATGCAGTCAGCAACGAGAAAGTAGTCTAGTGGTAAAGACTACGAGTTGTGTAAAATGTACCATTGTGGTTCAAGTCCTACAGAAGTCATTTTGTGATTTGAATTGTGTCAAATTTTAATTGCACAAGCTAGAGAAAAAAGGTTATGCTGAATAATTTGCGATATGCAGTCAGCAACGAGAAAGTAGTCTAGTGGTAAAGACTACGAGTTGTGTAAAATGTACCATTGTGGTTCAAGTCCTACAGAAGTCATTTTGTGATTTGAATTGTGTCAAATTTTAATTGCACAAGCTAGAGAAAAAAGGTTATGCTGAATAATTTGCGATATGCAGTCAGCAACGAGAAAGTAGTCTAGTGGTAAAGACTACGAGTTGTGTAAAATGTACCATTGTGGTTCAAGTCCTACAGAAGTCATTTTGTGATTTGAATTGTGTCAAATTTTAATTGCACAAGCTAGAGAAAAAAGGTTATGGTGAATAAGTTGCGATAGGCTGTCAACAACGAGCAAGTGGTCTAGTGGTGAAGACTACAGGTTGTGTAAAATGTACCATTGTGGTTCAAGTCCTGCAGAAGTCATTTTGTGATTTGAATTGTGTCGAATTTTAATTGCACAAGGTAGAGAAAAAAGGTTATGGTGAATAAGTTGGGGTTTGTTTGAAACTGCGAGCAAGTGGTCTAGTGGTAAAGACTGCCAGCTGCGTAGTGTTCCGTTGTGGTTCAAGTCCTACAGAAGTCAATTTGTGACTTGAACTGTGTCGAATTTTAATTACAAAAGCAACAGAAAAAGGTTATGGTGAATAAGTTGCGATATGCTGTCAGCCACGAGCAAGTAGTCTAGTGGTAAAGACTACGGGTTGTGTAAAATTACCATTGTGGTTCAAGTCCTACAGAAGTCATTTTGTGACTTGTACTGCGTCTAAATTTAATTACACAAGCTACCGAAAAAGGTTATGGTGAATAAGTTGCGATATGCTGTCAGCCACGAGCAAGTAATCTAGTGGTAAAGACTACGGGTTGTGTAAAATTACCATTGTGGTTCAAGTCCTACAGAAGTCATTTTGTGATTTGAATTGTGTGGAATTTTAATTGCACAAGCTAGAGAAAAAAGGTTATGGTGAATAAGTTGCGATAGGCTGTCAACAACGAGCAAGTGGTCTAGTGGTGAAGACTACAGGTTGTGTAAAATGTACCATTGTGGTTCAAGTCCTGCAGAAGTCATTTTGTGATTTGAATTGTGTCGAATTTTAATTGCACAAGGTAGAGAAAAAAGGTTATGGTGAATAAGTTGGGGTTTGTTTGAAACTGCGAGCAAGTGGTCTAGTGGTAAAGACTGCCAGCTGCGTAGTGTTCCGTTGTGGTTCAAGTCCTACAGAAGTCAATTTGTGACTTGAACTGTGTCGAATTTTAATTACAAAAGCAACAGAAAAAGGTTATGGTGAATAAGTTGCGATATGCTGTCAGCCACGAGCAAGTAGTCTAGTGGTAAAGACTACGGGTTGTGTAAAATTACCATTGTGGTTCAAGTCCTACAGAAGTCATTTTGTGACTTGTACTGCGTCTAAATTTAATTACACAAGCTACCGAAAAAGGTTATGGTGAATAAGTTGCGATATGCTGTCAGCCACGAGCAAGTAATCTAGTGGTAAAGACTACGGGTTGTGTAAAATTACCATTGTGGTTCAAGTCCTACAGAAGTCATTTTGTGATTTGAATTGTGTGGAATTTTAATTGCACAAGCTAGAGAAAAAAGGTTATGGTGAATAAGTTGCGATAGGCTGTCAACAACGAGCAAGTGGTCTAGTGGTGAAGACTACAGGTTGTGTAAAATGTACCATTGTGGTTCAAGTCCTACAGAAGTCATTTTGTGATTTGAATTGTGTCGGAGATCAGCAATTTTCTTCATTTGCCGAAAATTTTTTTCTAAAACCCTAAAATTTCCTAAAATTTTTGTAAATTAACCTCATTCTTTTCCAAATTCAGACTTATTTTTGTAAATTAGCTTTCTCTGAGCCTATAAATTACCTTAATCTCATGATTTTGCCCGAAAAAGGATCACAGGAAATGTGATTTATCAGGTATAGTATTTTACAACTAAAAGGGCACTTCTGCCCCCCTTGCCCCACCCCCTAGCAAAAGGCAAGAGGGGCAGCTGCCCTTCCTGCCCCCCCAGTTCCGCCGTCCCTGCGGATTATCCCAGAACCTCGCGTTCCTTCCTGAGGATTGCTGGCTCGGAGAACGAGATTGGAGTTGCTGAAGTTGTAACTTGTGTATCAATACCGAGGGCCTGATACTCAAGTTACTGAAGTTGCTGTTGGTGCATAGCATTGAACTATAAATAAATAAATAGTTATTTATAGTTCAAAGGATCCTCGTTCCCATGGCTTCTCTTCTGATGGTGCGAAACAGCCTAGTCCCTAGGCCTCTTAGTACGCCTAGGCGCGTTTCTGCATGGGTGCGAAAAGTTGGTGACGTTTTTCGCGCCTGGCAGTCGAGCGTTGCGAGTCGGGTGTGGAATGTTTACCAAATATTTTTGACGCAAAATATTGTCGGAGTTATAAGACGAAAAGCTTTAAAAATTTTGGTGTATTTTATTAAAAACTGCTCTTTCGTACATGAAGGCGACAAAATAATCTCTCGTGGACATTTTGTAGTGATTTTGAGAGAGATTTTCGTGTGAATTCGTTAATAATTTTTGCTTCGAAAATCATGGCCGATAAAAGTCGTATTCTAAAATGGATGTTGTTCGCTTTTACTGTAGTGTTTTGGGTGAGTTTGCTGTGTTAATTGTGCTTTAAAAATAATTCTGTGAAGTGTCTGTTTTATTTAGTTTTGTACTTGGATTCTGTATGTAGAAAATGAGAAAATTTGATGGCTAAAACCTTGAAAATATACTGACAATGTGTATATACAATATTTTTAGATTTGAATTTACACATTTTTAATATCTACATGTTATAGAAAAGCTGTCTCAAAAATGAATTTCTGACAGTATTTGAGAGTTTTCGATATAAACTACAATAGCAACATTAGTTTTATGTTACAACAGAACAATTTATATCGGTAATACGCAGTTTTTATTCATATTCAAAGAGAATATTATCAATATATCCTCAATATGTGAAAAGTGCTCTTAAATAAAGTTACAAATATGTTTGTAAATGTAACTCTGCCCTTACCAATGTAACAAATAAAGGGATGTCACAAAATATCCATCTTATGTTACAGTGAAAATAGATTGTTAAACTTGGGTATAGTATAAAGCAACATAAAGTTTTTTTGAGAGTTCGTTGTTACTGCAATATACAAAGAGTTGTTTGATTAAAGTTAAGTTATGCAGGAATGTTGCTCAATTAAAGCTTTTAAGAGGGTCCTGAATTGACTCAATGATTTCTTTGCACCATTGACTGGACATCTAGGGAGAACAGTTTAGAACTGATATAGTTATCTAGTATAAATAAAGTTAGTTTAGTTTAGGTTTCCTCCTGTAGTAACACTGGATCAATAAGAGATGATCCTTACTGAACCTCTAGGAAGAACAGTTTATAACTGATAGGGTTATCCAGTATAAATAGAGTTAGTTTAGTTTAGTTTAGGTTTCCTCCTGTAGTAACACTGGATCAATAAGAGATGATTCTTACTGAACCTCTAGGAAGAACAGTTTAGAACTGATAGATTGCTATCCAGTATAAATAAAATTAGTTTAGTTTATAATGGATATCTATGTAAAACAGTATAGCACAAATACAGTTGTCCAGTATAAATGAAGATTAGTTCAGGGGCTGTTTCTAGCATTTCTTCATTTTTATTTCAGACAATTGGAGGCCTGATGATGGGTGTTGGGTTTTACTCAGTTACACAAAAGAATGAATATACAGAGTTCACCAGTACATCAACAGATCCTGGTGCTCTGATTGTTGCTGTTGGTTTCATCATATTCTTTGTCTCGTTTGCTGGTACCATTGGAGCACTTCGTGAAAACACCACTTTACTGAGAGTTGTAAGTCCACAACAAGATCTTTCAGAAATATTCCATAAAAGCAATTAACAAGAATTAAACTAATTTTGAAAACATTATCAACCCTCGGATTATAGTATGGTCTCTTTGAAAATATCATAGAGTTGTAAGTCCACAACAAAATCTTTCCCAATTAATGAAGCTCTTGCATTTTTTGTGGACTAAGAGATTGCTCTTTGAAATTACTGTTGCTGGTGACTTCATACCAACAATTATTTTTATTAGTATTTTTGTATGAATGTTTGCATCTATAGGCCAATTTACATATTTTCCCCTAAAACTGTTGTGCACAACCTGCTTACAACTTGAGTTGTGTGTAAATCAAGCACACAACTCACTTACGTTGTCCTAGGCAAGTTGTGTGCTTGATTTAAACAGTACAACTCAAGTTGTAAGCAGGTTGCATGCGACAGTTTTAGGCAAAATTTGTGTAGTGTATATATACATATATAGTGCCGTAATGATTTACTAACCAGTATAAAAAATTATCTTTACCTATAACTCTGTTGTATTTTATTGTTTTAGTATGAAGTGTTTATTTTTATTGTTGTCATACTACAATTCATTGGTGGTATCCTTGGTTTTGCATTCTGGCCTGAGGTATTGTGAGCTTTGGTATTTCACTTTCTGCATATTTGATAGAGATGTGTGATGCTACGCAGGCTGTGTCGCCTATGTGTGATATGACAACTGTTCCAACCCTCCCTATTTGATCTCCTAGTAGCCATATGCCCCCTGGTCTCTGATCTCTAATTTGAATCTGAACAGCCTGATTTTTAGAAAGATTTGTTTATTATTAAGAAAATTAGTTTGAAATGAAAATGTCCTTGCTAAAATGCATGTATGTCACCTTTTACCAGCAAACAAAAGTAGGTAAAATGCCAACACATTTGAAGAAATGTCTAATTGCTTGCTGGAGGCAAAATACAAACTAAGGTTTCAAAAAAATACCATTGAAGTGACAACCCCTCACTCCCTCCCCTCATTTTTAGGCTGAGTGTTTGATCATTTGAATTTGAAATCATACTTTTCATCTTTTGGGTGTATTCCTGATTTCATCATAAATTTATCATCTACAGGTCAGGGAAAGTCTGGATACCCAAGTGAAAAAAATGATTACAAAATATCCTTATGACGTTGACTTGAAGAATGCCATTGATCTTGTACAAGAGAGGGTAGGTGAACTATGTGAATATTAAGATCAGTGGCAACCATAAACTATCCAGTTTGCATAAGGAGATCAGTAACAATTTTATGTCCGGTTAGTGTTATGGAGATCAGTGGCAAAAGTTTAACTATCCAGTTTGCATAAAGAGATGAGTGATAATGAAATGTCCAGTTAATGTTATGGAGATCAGTGGCACCAGTTAACTATCCAGTTGGCATAAGAGATCAGTAATTTCAAAGAATTGTCCAGTTATTGTTATGAGATCAGTGGCAGCACTTAACTATCCAGTTGGCATGAAGAGATCAGTAACAACAATGAAAAGTCCAGTTAGTATTATGGAGATCAGTGGCACCAGTGAACTATCCAGTTATCAATAACGAGATCAATAATGAGATGTCCAGTTAGTGTTATGGAGATCAGCTTAACTAGCAAATTCCTCACTATTTTGCAAATTACTTCCTCGAAAATTCCTTTGGTTTTGTTGCTAATTGTATCATATAAACAAAGATGAAGGAATTTGCAAAATTCTACTTACAGTGCTTTCCCCCTGACACGTAAATTGTAACATTATCTGGCATAAGACGGAGTAAAATAATAAAGTAGGGCACATTAAGGTACAGTGCAACTGGGTTAATATTGGATTTGTTTTTCAGTTGGAATGTTGTGGTAGTTCAAATTATCATGATTGGAACCTCAATCGTTACTATCGATGTTATGTCAACGATCCCAAACCCATTCAACATTGCAGTGTGCCGTTCTCCTGTTGCCACATCAAGGAGAAGGTTTGTAGTCTGTACGATATTATACAATTACCTTATGGTTTCCGTGTTTGGATGGCCTGATCCAAACACAGGTTTCGACCAATCAGAGCACACGTTATATACATGTTATTTTATATTCAAATACACCTTTCATGCAATGTGATCCGAGGAAGAACAGGGTAAGATGTAACATCACCATGGAATCATTTCCTTCATTCTCTACTTCTTGCTAGTTTTCTCAAAATTTTTCAATCTTTTTCTAGCATATAAAAATATTAAGTGAGTGACAAAAAAATTTAAGAAATGACAGCACATCTCATGACTTACTCTTTTCCCATGAAATGTTGTTATGATGTCACAAATATAAAATATTCATCTTCAGTTTATGAATATTGTATTGGATTTCGAGTTATATACGAGTTCTTTGGCGAAATATTTTTAAAAATCTACGTGTCTAAGCGGAGAAAATTATAGCTAAAGTTGATGTAAATGAACGTGATTTTTTATCATTTATTAAACCACAGACACAGCAGTAATTTCCTTCGTCTTTTCTCATGAATTATTAATACGTTTTTTGACATAACTTAAACTGGAATTTTTATCTTGTAGCAAAGAATAAATTACCAATGTGGATACCAGATGCGGTCCCCTGGCCGACATGTAAGAAACAATCCTTTGTTTACCCTATTAGCCATTCCGAAGTTGATGAGTGGACTGGGGACGAGTGTTAAAAAGTGCCCAAATTAAGAAATGAACCAAATCACTAAAAAGATCACCTCAAAGTTAGTAAGTATACAAAGTTTGAAGACGTTTACATGAATACCCTTCGAATAATAAGCTTTCGAAAATCCGATATTTACTATGAAATGTACTGTGATTTTTGTTTTTGGGACGCGCGTCCCAAAAACAATCTTTTAATCAGTAATTTCATAATTTTCGAAAGGTTATTATTCGAAGGGTATTCATGTAAACGTCTTCAAACTTTGTGTACTTACTAATTTTGAGGTGATCTTTTTAGTGATTTGGTTCATTTCTTAATTTGGGTACTTTTTAACACTCGTCCCCAGTCCACTCATCAACTTCGGAATGGCTAATTGCATTGTGCAATTCAGTTTCTTGCATAGAGTAGATATTCGTCTGTTTCTTTCATTTAGCGATTGGATGCAAATAATTATATATACACTCGTGGATGTTTGGATGTTTTAGAAAATTACTTTAAAGACAATCTTGTCCTGGTTGGAGCCGTTGCAATTGCTTTTCTGTTGCCTGAGGTAAAATTTTGTTGTCGGGTTGCTTTCAGTGTTTCGCCATTAAGTCCGTAATATTACATATGGAAGCAAGAAAATGAAACTACATCTCTCTATTTGCCTCAAAATACAAGACTATACTGCATATAATGAAAAAATAATTAAACAGGGGTGGAAGAAATAGGCGAGCACTGCTCGCAGGGAATGTTAAGGCCATGTTACACGGTGCAATTTTTCTTGCAACTTGCAATGCAATGTAGACTCTTGAGAGATGTCAATTAGTGAAATCAGTGAAGAATTTTCGATATGTTGAGAAAACATCAGCGGAGTGTAATGAAGACTCGTATTTGGTAATTTTACATCTCTCAAGAGTAGAATTGCATTGCAAGTTGCAAGAAAAATTGCACCGTGTAACATGGCCTTTAAACAGCTGCAGGAAATTCGTTTGAATGAAGATTTGCTATTGAAAATTTGAAGGAAACCTTAACACCCATGTTTCACTATGGGCGCAACAACATATGGTTGACAGACGTAATTATTCGTTGAATTTAAAACCATGGTCAGCTAGAACACTATATGTTTATGCACATGCAGATTTAGCACAAAAATACTCCGTTGGTCTGCAGGAAATTGTATCCAGGTTGTGCTCCCAGGAAGAAAGTTCTTGATTTTCTCACTCTGATAACTGCAGGTTTACCACCATCTGCTTCACGATAGTGCTTAGTAAAACCAGCTATTTATGAAAATAAGCAAGCTTTGGATTCCTAGGGATATGTGAGTACGTGAGTAATACAAGGTAGTTATATCCCTATCAATCCAAAACTTTCTTATTACACTGACCATTCAAAATTGTACTTACGAAAAAACCTAACAATAGTAATTGTTTAATATCGTCTCCAGGTCCTTGGTATTGTCCTAACCCACATGTTTATTAATGACATCAAAGATCGTATTGAAAAAATGTACGAGGTTGATGGCTTTGAAAATCGTGCCCCAAGACCCGCTGGTCCTTCTCAGGCAACCGGATATTTGTAGTTCTACGTCGCAGGAGGTATCTTTCATACAAACTGTTTGTCTAGATTAATTTTATTTGTAGATGTTGTAGTAGTGGTAGATTTGAATTGCGCGTACTGGTATATATTCTCTTAGTTTAATCTATATAATCGTACCTACACTAAAAAGAGTGCTGTTAAACTCTAGCAATATGTTAGTGTGTTTTCTTTGAGCAAAACGTACTCAGTGGACATTAATTCAGGAAAGCTTGACGTAACTTTGTAAAATCTAAGTAGAATGCATGTAGGAATTAGCATTCTTTCTCTGTTTGAATATACTGCATGTTACTTTAATTTCAGATGCTTACACTGTGAGTATCACTTGTATACTGTACAACTCTAGCGATTCTTGGGTGTTTTACTTTGAGCAACAAGTACGTACTGCATGATATTCGTTCTACATAACCCAAGAACCAGACTGGAAACCAATCGTTTTGTGGAATAGGTGTAATATATATTTTGAATGTTTATACCATCATTTAGGACTAGGTATAATTTCCGTGTATTCTAATGCTAGTTTCATAATTTTAACGCGTATCCTTAATAAACATCCACGCAAATAGATACTTATGTTTCCTTGTATAATTCTGTTCGTAATGAGAAGCAACCAGCCAATGGTGACTCTTCGTTGATAAAGACTTTTCCATGCAAAACTAAACTAAATATATTTATACCGGATAGCTGTGTGAGTTATAAACTGTTCTCCTTAGAGTCCAGTAAGGGCCATTTAATAATACATGGGAGAAACATTTCAAGTTATGTGATTAAAGATTTTGTGCAGGTCTAAACTACTTTGAGCTACCATTAAAAGGTCTTGGCATGCGTCCTTGCAGTATGTCTAATGGGGACAGTTTTAAATCATTAGAGGGCAGGTTCTTTCTGATCCACCGAGGCCATCGGGAGACAAGCGCGTGTACTAACGTTTTTGGGAAAGTATTAACGGCATTATTGACTGGCATAGTAATCCATAGTAGAGACGGGAAATGATCTTTCTCTTGTAAAAATTCCTCAAGACGTGAGACTGTCTCTGTTGTAAGGTTGTTCCCTTTGAGCCCTAGAACAGAGAAAAACTTTGAGATGAATCCTTGTAAATAAGTAAGGGGGAGGGGGGGGGGGGT